TGCAGTCCTATTCGGGGCACACAGTAGGCTCTCATCAATATTTTACGTATTAGGCAGGTGACACATCTGCGCTCTAAGGTAAGAGCTTTCATACAATCTCAACAAACCCCAAATCTCCACAGATATACATTTATGAGGTAGATACATTAAGAATCTTTCCTCATCCCGTAGATACATTTTTTAATTTAAAGCTACATTATTGCAAAATGTTAACTCAATAGGAAAGACTGAATCTAGATCAGGGTTCCAGGCAGGCAATTTAAAACATATAAAACCACATATCACATTATTTTCTTGAAGAAATGTTTCTCACTTATAATAGGCAAAGGAAAAATTCCAAGAGAAGGCCAGACAGCTGTACTGAGTGATTACATGAAAGCAACAAAATCAGGCTTGTGCAATAACCATATAGACAGTTTAGTTTTTTTCAAGTCAAATACTATAGTTTCAATGATAAAAAATTTCCCATCCCTTACAAAAAAGATGCTTGAGGTTGCACAGTACTCTTACAAACCACATTAGATACTTTGTTAGTTAACAGAGGAAAATGGTTTAGTCAGATATGAAATTTTACAAAATTTTTAAAAAGCAGAATCAAATACAGAAAAATATAAGTGAACATAAACCAAAAATCCACATTCTTGCTTTTCAAAATCCTCACCAGATATCCAAACACTGCAGGATTATACTACTGCACTGAACTATAAATACATATTAAAATATAATACCACAAGCTTAAAATCTAACATATAGGAAAGCAAACCCTCACAGACTCTGCATAACTGCAACTGTTTTTAATTTCTTGAAATTCAGCAACTTCTAAATAAACTATAATAGCAGAAACAAACAGGCACATGAATGGATCATAATCAAGACTATCAATGGCTCCATTTAAACAAGAGCACAATAGTATGAGTTTTATCACTGAAATTTAGGAAATCAATCCACATAAAAGTTGATAAAATACATGTGTATATACGTATTTTATATATTTATACACATACATGTATTATTCTCAGCAATCCTGAAATAGTAACTGATATGTGTTGATACTTATTTAGAATTTTAAATCTGGAATATACTCATGTATACTTATGCTTTAAAAATGTACTAATTGTCTATTCATCCAGTTGCAATCTTTATACTTTTAACAATTTTAGACCAGGTAGGAACAGTGACCTGCTTTTTCAACCATTATATCCTCCAGACAAGACTAATTTGAAATTGAGCAAATTGCACATAATGGGCCAGGGATTCAAGCCCATGATTTTTAGTCACTTCAACTCTTATTTGGAGACATATAGTCTATTTCTCCCTTCCCTTTTATCACCCCTGTAGCTGCCTCTCCATGAACTAAATTCACTGATTTTACTAACCATGAAATGAAAGGAAAATCATTTTGCAAATTTCTGCAGGCTTGTTTTTAATGCTTAAAAAAATAAGCTATATCTTTAAAATTTTTTCTTTTCCTTTAGGGCTTCTTCAATTTTTAAATGAATTGGAAATATTAAAGGAAGCTAGTCAATACAATAGAAAACAATCAGATGCATGAATATATAACAGACGACTTTGCAAAAGTCTGTTACAGTTGAGTGAGTTTTTAAATAACCCAAATTTTACCACATAAGTTATTACATTGTAGAAGCTCTCTTTTTTTTTGGGGGGGGTAGTCCTATTTGGGCTTAAGCAAAGTACAGATACTGGTACAAGAAAAACAAAGAAGCAAAACAAACAAATCCAACTTGGTTTTAAGAAGATCACTGGGGTAAAGGAATAGTTAAGTTAATCAAAACCCAACCCCTCCTATTTACCTTTCAATCTAATGGTTAAATTTCCCTCATCAGTACTAAAAGGTGATAACCAAGTAACAGTCTAAACATCATGTAAAACTAAATACTGAAAAATTCATACAATTTCCAGATTATCTATCAATGAGGCTGAGGTCAGTTGATTAACAGATTTGTCTGGTCACTTTGGAGCACAAGATTGGTTCCCATTTGTTTGGGAGAGGGTTGTTTTAGTTTTGTGAATATGTGTGCAGTATTTATACCCTTATGATCAGGACCTTTGCTTTTGCCATTCAGATGCACCTCTTCCTAGGTTGCCATGTTCCCTTTCATGGATACAAGTGTTCAAAAAGGAATATATATCATGGCCAGTTTAGAGCAAAGATTTCACTCTGTCCCTTGCTTACTGCAGGTGTATTGCAAATGAATTGCAAAGACCCTTCACATCCAAAACACCTGAAGTAAGTAACAGTGGACTTAAGCAGTGAAGAGTTCTTACAGGGAAGGATGGAGATTTTCTGAAATTTGCTTTCTAGCTTACAACTACTCTTTCAACTACTGATATCACTTGTCCACTTTGTTGAAGCTCTATGGTTTGTTCCGTTTCACCTGCTTTCCAATTTAGGGGAGTTTAGTGGGAAAACCTATCACTTAACTTTTGTTATTTATTTTCCATGTTTGGGTCTTGCAGAATACCCAAGTTCCTAAATTTTGTTTAAACTGCAAAATAAAATCACAACCACCAACAAAATGTTCAAGATGAAGGCTAAGTCACTGTTCAAAGTGCTGAATGTGGACTGGATTTATGGTTCTGATATCTTCAGTCCTCTGGCGGGAACTAGGGACATTACCCTCTCAAAAAGCAACAATGTGGCACAATAATTTCCCCCATGAAGAATTATACATAAGCATTTCCTTTTTCAAAAAGTGTTAAAACTATTAGCAGTTTAATCACTGGATTCTAATTAAAGTTAGGACTATCACTAACTTTTTGAAATTGATGTCAAGTATGATCACTACTGACGTTCTCTGGGGAAAACAAAAACAAAAACAGAAAACAAGTCTTGGCATTATTTACTCCAGATAAATCACTCTTTGAGCATAACTTTCTGATCCTATAGCTAAGTAGCCATTCGGGAGTGCCCTTGGACATTCCCCATAGAACTAAGATTCCGGAAATGATACTAGTTCTAGAAGTACTCTAGGAAACCTACCCTAAGAAATCCATAGCAGTGAATAATGGATTCTTCGAGGCTAGGAGATCAGCTTTAGAGGGGGAAAAAAAGAAAGAAAGAAACACACCAACAAGCACCCGGAAACTATGTGTAATGGTTCGCTGCTTGTGCAAAAACCTCAAAGAGGATGAAGGTCAGACAGGGATAATAGGCCAATTTAATTCTGAAAGCACAAGGTGCAAGAAATTTTAATTATGGTCTGCCACTGAAATCACACAAGATCCAATGGCATCTAACTGCAACTGCTCATCAAGGGAGACAAGAGGTGTAATTGTAACCGCTGCATAATCACTGTGAGGGTACAGAGAAAGCTGCCTTCAGCTCCCAGCAGAGAATGTATTAAGAGGCTTGAAAAATCCAATGCAGGGAAACATGGAGATTGCAGTAGTCTAACTGGAGAGCCTGCATGGTGTGTGCTTGAGGGGTAGTGGGTAATGGTTCCAGGAATATAAGTATGAAACTGCTTGGCTCATTATGGGCTGGAGAATATGATCTTGGAAAACTCCGAACCCTCTTCTGCTTTATGGACACATCTGCAGAGAAAGGCACCATCTCCTCCAGAAATTTCTCTCCGTGAAGCATCACACACTCTCCTTTGTCTAAAACAATTAGCCTGGATGTTAGAGTCATTTACAGAACCAGATTCCTTTCCATTTATTTTCATCAAACTAAAATCTGGGGAACAGAACGCGACGCACAGGACTTGAGGTGCCCAAGCCAGGGCATCCCTCAACGTCCACGATGACGCCCTCATTGTGGACTCTTAGCAAAGGAGCATCGGGAGAAAGTCTCTTGTGAACTGTGCAGTCAGCAAAGTTTTACAAATCCAAATAGTAAAGATGCAAAACCTCCATCCAAGCCTGTTGCAAAGTTGGCGGTGAAGTTTGTGCCGGGATGTCCTAAATCTTGAAGGGGAAGGGGACGTGAGTGTGCGAAGAGGCGGGAGGATGGAAGGAGATGGAAAAACAGAACGGGGAAAGGAATTTTTTCGAGTGGATGGTCCATGAGCCCATTTTCTAACCCGGAAGCAGGCTCAAAGGGTCTGGGCAATGCACGCCCGGGTGGTCTTCTAGGGCAAGACCAAAGGCCGAGTGTGGGTGGGAGAGATGGAGGGGAGCTGTCACCTGCGGGGACTAGGGGCGGGGAACCCTCTCCAAGGCTCCAGGGGAGGACCCAGGGGCTCCAGCTTCACCGGCTCTTGGGGCTCTAACTAGTGGGGGAGGGGAGACTCGAGAGAGGGCAAGAGGCCAAAAGCAACACCTTTCGGATACGCTTTTCCCCTCCGACCTCTCCAACTTCCCGCAGTGCCAGCCAAGGACTTTCTCCCACCGCACTCCACCCCATCCCGCCTCCTGGCCCACAGCTCCCGGTCCGCCGCCGCGGCGAGGGGTGGGGTGGGGGGTTAGGCCGGGAAGCGCAGGGCGCGAAGGTCGGGACTCAAAACGCAAACTCTCAGCCTTCTAGCTGAGACGACCAAAAGCTTTTACACATGCAAGGCTCGGAGCCCCGTAACAGGGCTTCGGCTTTGCGCCGGACGCAGCTCCCCGACTCTTCTGTTGTTCCTAATAAAGTAGATTACGTTGCCCTTCGGGAGCTGATTGGAAGGCAACGGAGAGGAAAAGGGGGGAACGCGGGAAAAAACTAAGGTCGGGGGGGAGGCAGCAGTCAACTTTGTAACCCAGCGCTTCCTCGCGCGATCCGTCGCCATGCTTAAGATTCCCACCCCCGCCGCCCCCCTCCTTCCTTTCAAGTGGATACTGAAACTAGGCCAAAACTTTTTCCCCTCCTTTTCTCTTAGCCACTAGACTGGATTGTGCCCCACGGAGCCCCATGGAGCTCTGCTTTCTTAAGCACAATAGCCAGACTAATTAGATCATAGAAGCAAGGCAGTGATACTGTAACAAGTAGCCCGAGAGGCAAAGAGGGAAGGGGCCCGAAAAGAGCGAAAAGGGGAAAAGTTTGCAGTTCTCGCACTTACCAATCAAGCCTCCCACCAGAAAGGCGATGATTTGGAACACGAGAAGAATCCCACCAACAATGCACAGCTTCTTGGTGCTCATGTTTTCTATAATTGCCCCAGCCATTTTTGCGCCCCCTTTTTCTTTTCTCCTTGAAATAAATGTTTTAGGGTGTGCTTTTTGCTCCCTCTCCTCTCAAGCTCCCTCCTCCCTCGCCTCCTTTCTGAGCGCTGCAAAACTTCAGGGGTGCGGGAGCTCAGTGAAGATGGGACCAGGACGGAAGACGCCCGCACAGATTCCCCCGGCTGCGCCGGCTCGGGCTCCCCCAATGCCCGGAGCTGTGATTGTGGCCGCTCCGCCGCCTGTGGACGCTTAAAGGAGCAGGGAAGCGGATCACATGACGCCGCCTCCCTCCCTTTCTTTCTCCCTCCCTCTCGCGCTTCCTCCCTCCCTCCCTACCTCCCTCTCTTCCTCTCCCCCTAGCCCGCCAGTGCGGGGCTCGGAGCTCTGTCGGGTGTTGGCGTCCCGCTCCCTTGTCTGGCAGACAGCCTGTCCCGCCAGGGGCTGGTGTCGTTGGGGGTTGATGTTGTTGTTAAGTGGGTCCTCCCTACCCCGCCTCTCACACGTTTCCTTTTCTGGTTCCCGAAGTGCGAGATTTCAATCACCAGCAGACAGCTTTGCAGACCTTTAACTTAGGCGTTGACTTTAGGAAATGGTACCCACCCCCGACTGCTAGAACTCTCTTCAGGAAAGCGGAGAGAATTTTTTAAAGGGACCAAATAGATGCTGAAGTCAAAGCAGCGATGCGGAATAAAATCTCAGTTGGCTTCCTTCTGCCTGATCCCAGCCTTGGCTATTGGTCGTATACCCAGCTTAATCTCCCCTCTGCACCCCTGGAGGAACGCTGCTCTCCAGCCAAAGCAGACTATCGTTCATTACCACATGATTCTCCACTCGTGGGTTTCAAGAGTCTTGACCCTGGCTTTGCCTTTAGAAAACATATTCTACTCCATCGGAGTGTTAAACCTCACTTTAAAATCTACTAGTTTGAAAACCCATTCTAATTTTCTTTCAAACCACCTCCAAGTAATAACTCCCAGAAATGAGTACCTGCATTCCGTGTTTACATTTTCACCTCCTGTTGTAATGACCTGTATGTATACATTTGTCTCCACCATTGAGCTGTAAACTTCTGGAGGATAGGGACGGAGTTTTTCATCTCTGTACCCCCCATGGTGCCTAACAAAATTCTACCTCTAGTAGGTCCTCCACAACCTTCTGTGGAATGGATAAATAAGTGAATGTGAAAGCAACACATTCTGTTTTTCCACAGTTTGCATTTCAAAAGCCTAAAAGAGACCTTGTTTGATTTAGATGGTACACATATTAAGTTACAATGTTTGTTGTCTCTTTGTGAGGATACATTTATATTTATACTTAACTTCCAGGGGGTAGGAGGCTGGGAATCTTAACAGTTCTATCAAGCCCAAATTGCTGGCCTGTTTTCCCACTTGGTCAATATAACTTTCATTGCCCAGTGGACCCCATGTTTGGACACTCTACACCCACCCCCAGATTCCCCTTGTTTACATGGTTTCCATAACCCACCAGCGCTTACACGCCTGGTTTCTTAAGCCACTCTTCTCTAACTACACCTTCTTCACATCAAGAGAATATTCCAGTTCCTGATTCCTCTTCTACTCTGTTCCTGAGCTCACATTACCCTTACAGAGATTGCCATGCAGGTTACACTTAAAAAAGCATTCATTTCTAGTCTACAAAAGGGCAGGTATCAAACTGTATGGATATTTAAAAAAAAAAAAAAAACAACAACTCACCTTCTTGGAATCTAGCTGTTCTAAAGAGTTCTGAGGACTTAATTGTTATTAGTTGGTACTTTACTTCAACCCTTTAGCCAGCAATCACATAACCAACCTGTTCCAGGCTTTCTTTTCCAAGCAATTAAGTTCACGGAATGGGAAGACAGGTGGATGCCCCTATCCTAATGGAGACCAAGTCTCGCTTTATTCACCAAACAGTGATAAATGACCTTTATGCTGAGAACACCAGGTTAGAGATGCAAAGTGGAAGACAAAATTGTTGTCAACAGGAATGGTCAGAAGGGTCTGACTGGCAACTAAACATAGGCCAGTGTGGACCATTTGTCTTCCTTCTTTACCTTTTCAAATGCTTACATCATTCAGTTTTTTTAATGACAGGAATAGGATCAGGAACTCATAAAAAGAAGTAAAAATTGCCCTTCTCACCTCTGCTGTTAGTTAACATCACATTGTGTGTTTTCATCTCAGCAAGCTGCCAACATCCACACATTTGAATAATAATGATGCCTTTAGGTTAGAATTTTTTTAATAACAAGGGATTTTTAGAGTAAGGGTGATAGGACTCAATACTAAAATTTACTCTCCATTTGACATGGCATTTCACTATTTAGGAAAAAAGAAATGATGTTCCATGCACTTGAAAAATCACTAGACTCTGTAAGAAATTTTTGGTTAGTTGAACTGGTTTGCTAAGACTAAAGAACTCCTCAGCTAATTTTGCTCTTAGTGTTACAATACACCTTATTCCTCTTGACTTCCAATTACATCTCTTCAGAGTAACTGGCCTTACATTTTAGGTTTCGGTGTCCTCATCAGGGAAGACTTGGAATAAAATACTGTTTATTCGCAAAGGTGATCCCCTATATGAAATGACATACATTCTATAACCATTTGACCACTTTAATTTTGAAAAAGATGTTTTTCATTGTTAATTGCATAAGATTATCAATATTGCCAAACTGAGTGCAAGAAGACAAATTCAGTGTTTAGCACCATGAACTGATTTTTTTTAAGTGTTTACAATTTCTATTATGTCTTTTTAAATATTAATGATGGCTGTTGGACTTGTAATCCTTATTTCTTAAGGGAATAACATAGGATCAGTAAAAAGAAGCATGGATGTTTGAGTTGGCTAGATCTGGGATGGAGCCTAAAACTCAGCTCTACCCCTTATTATGTGTGATCAGGGATCATATCACAGTTGTCTGCTCACTCTGAAACTCAGTTTTCTCTTCTGTAAAATGACAGCCATAACAGTACCTACCTCACAGTATTCTTGTAAGATATTATTGTTATATGTAGAATGAATAAGAGAAAACAATAATCTTGTGTTAGAAACTAGTCAAGCTGATCATTAGGTTTTTTTTTTTCCTATCTGTTAAATACTGTATTATAGTCATTTTTTGAAGCTTACTTTAGGAGATGATCTGGGTATCAGCTCCACTTGACAAAGCTGCTAAGTCCAACACCTAATATTAAACTCTGAACAATACTCAGTGAACTTTAAATAGAAGCATTCTATTGTAACACAACACTGTTCCTAATATCAAATGACAGTTTAATTTAAGGGTACAGTTCAAGTCCAGCAACAGAAACAGATGTTATTAATTCCACTTCACTGTACTTCCTGAGTTATCAATATCGATATATGACTATCTAACTGAAAGTGGATTAACTGCAATGCCTGTACCTGGCATTTACTGACTAAATACCTACCTGGGTTGCATTTTGCACATATATTTATATATGTGCTCTATTATCACCCTAAATTGCAACCTCTTTAAAACAAGGGAGTGTGACCTGGGTCTTTGTCTCCTTCAGCTTTAGTAGAGCATCTTGCACAGAGGGCAACTCCTGAAGTTGAAAAAGCCCCTACTGGAAGCCTAGCATAGCATATCATTATTGTCATTGCAGTAAATGTAATGTAGAGATCTAAAAGGATTGCATATACCTCCTCAAACACCTAATTTACTTCCCAGAGGGACCTAACAAGAGTAATAATCCCACTCTGAGGCTTCTCTTTCTTATAAATAGCTTTTGTCCATAAATGGCATCCCCGTGGCTCCCTTGTGATTGGTTTTTTCTCATAGTTAGTGTCTGTGAATGTGAGCAGGCATTTTGGGTTCACACTGTATTATTCAGTGTCACTTTTACTCATTACACACATACATATATGTGTCCACACACACATACATGTAAAGGCACAGCCTCTTTTAAAATGCTTATTGTTAAAAATTGGAACCAATTTTCCCTTCTTTGTTTATCAGTTCCACTGTCTTGTTTTATATGTAAATGAAGGCCTTTTCTAGCACCTCCTTCACATACTAATCTTGGGCAGCAACTATTCAGAACCCAGGGCTTGGAGACTGATACTTCAACATAATCTTTAGATGAAATTGTTAATATCCCCTCCACCCTTCTCTTTCTACACATCAGTACCCACCCTGCAGATCTCCTTTCACCTTTTCTTTTACATTCCATGTACAGCTCAAACATTAAATTTAGTTAGTCCCAGCATTAAGTCTTAGTTATTGTGTAAGTAAACTGGAGAAAATTACAGCTCTTTCTTATTTCAGAAGAAAAATAAAGCATATTATTACCAGCCTTATGGGTATTATGAGCAATCAACAAATATTTTGCATGGGAACAGGTTTCTATTCCCAGAAAACAACAAAAAAAAAATCGAAAAAAAATGGAATGGAAAGAACTACATAAAACTCTTAATTATTGTCTCTTATGAAATTGCCTCTTTGAAATTACAACCTGGAAGGGCAGGTAAGAAACTTTATAGGTTTCCAGAGGCCTCTGGTCGGAGGCAGCTGAAAATTTGGAGTAGCCAGACAGCCCCTGTTATTTCCCAGACCTGAAAGAGGTTGTGGCAAAGAGCAAACATGCTTCCAGTATGTAAAACCTCTGCAATTCCATGAGTTGGGTTCCTGGAGCAGACAGGGTCTTTTCCTTCCAGTTTCCATAGTAGTATAAGGCTAAGGAAGCTAAGCTGACTGCCCTGCCTCCTCATCTTCATGACCACTGTCCTTCCCCAGCTTACACTGTACTTTGTTAGGCTCAAAAGTGCCCTCTTTGTCTCCTTCTCCCTGTGGAGAGTGGCAGTGGGACGAGAGCCTTGACAGGTCAGGCCACATCTGCCCTGGACAAAGTATCTATGGTGTAAGGATAACACTAAACACTGTGGCACAGATATGGCAAACAAATTTTGTCAAATGAATTAGTGATGAAAGAACACATTCCATCCAGTCCCGAAGAGGAACTTAGATTTGTTTCACTTCAGCCCTAGACGTCTGGGTGAGAACAGGCCCTAACTTGGGTTAAAGCCCAATCCTTACTCCATGCTAATTGCAAATTATCTCAGAACATCACTAAGTAGCTCAGCATGAAGGACTCCCAATAAAAACAGCTGCAGGCACCTATATGTAATGTGGGAATGTAAAGGTTGTATGAGGATACAATACATGAAAGTTAAGACCTCTAATAATTCTACCTTGCAGTAGTTAAAGGAAACTGGAATACTTAGGAATAAACGATACCAGATAACTCACTAAATGTCAGATCCAATGGCAGCCTCTAAGAATAATGCCAATAATTATCACAAGGTAGCAAGAACTTATATTGATTTCTTCCTATGTATCAAGCACTATGCTTGATGCTTTACATATGACATCACTATTAATCCACATGCTAATATTATGCAGTAGGTATTATTTTTGCAATTTTATGAGAATGACACGTTACCTACTGCACTAGTGAGGCACCTTATTTTTATAATTTTAAAAG